CCTTCGCACGTTCAGTGCTCGGGCCCTAATTAAAGCTGCAAGCAGCGTTGGGCGGGACCTCGCACTCCACGCGACTCGGGGTTCGCTGCGGCCGCGTCACGACCGCTTCACGTCATCACGCGTTTCAGACACCGTGCAAAAGACTCCGGCATTCATAGCGAGACTCTTCACTGCGAACCGTGGAAATTCAGCGCCACGCCACGGACAAGTTGTTTGATGATCAGTCAATATTTGATTAACTTTGATCACCATCGTGTCTACATTGCAGTGATCGAATTNNGGCACGCGGTTAAATGTACAGTCACAAATAGCACAACTTTTGATCACCAATGTGTCTAGATTGCAGTGATCGAATTTGAAGTCAATCTGATAAAATCTGTAGGAGGAGTTAGTTAAAACAGAAGCCCTTAAATGCCAGAAATGGCATCACAGTTTGAGATTCGATTCAAACTGGCCAACTTTGACGGCACGCCATGGACACGCCCTTCAACGTACAGTCGCAAATAGCACAGCGTTTCTTCAGCAACATTTTCTGACTGTACTGACCAAATTTGAAGCAGAACCGACAAATTCCCTTGGAGTAATTCGTTCACAAACAACGGGAAAAAAAAGACTTTTTTGAGCTACAGTAGCTCTACAGACGAGCTACTGTAGCTCAAACTACTAAAACAGTTAATGCTGGTTCTGATAGAAAGGGGTCAGAATTCACAGTGCATCACAGTTTGTTGGTATGGGGCTGCAGAATAATGTTATGGCTGATCGGTGTATGTTTGATATAAAATATTTAATATATTAACTTTGTGAATGGGTTCTATTTATACGTTTATACCTTGCATCCTGGGGTGTCTTAAAAATAAATCTTCACAAATTCTATATAAAAATACATCCTACCTTCTTCTCTTTATGTAAAGTGGCAGCTTTTTTTAATTCCATGCTTTGTGCACAAAATTTTAAATCTTCCATCCAATGAAATGTACTGCAGATGGAATTACAGATTTTGGGATTGGTGTCCCACTGGACACAACGCAAATCTTGTGTAAGCGGGCAGTTTTTACTTTACTGCAGGTGGGGACCAGGAAGTTGAGATAAAGATTAAATCGGCAGACAACAAAGTAAGGCAAGTTTGGCATTTGGAGACATTTCTCAGTTGTTATTGACAGTAAAATATCATCTGTCAATCTGCAGCACAGAAGACATAAAATCTCTATTGTACCGGAGTATACACATAGCGGGAGCAGATGGGAATGGTCAGAAACCCACCTGGAGCGCGCGGGAGGGATTAAGTGAAAATAAATTATTAGAAGCAGGTTTATCGTCCTACTGCTTGAATATTATTAAGTTTATAGTCTAAAGAACTCAACTTTGTGATGAACAAGAGTCCATAACCAAGCTAGTAGCTTTGAGCTAAATGCTAACATCGACATGCTAACAAGCGTACAATGAAAATGCTAACATGTTTAGCAGGTATAATGTTCACTGCTTAGCATGTTTGCGTGCTAACATTAGCTTATTAGCACTAAACACAAAGTACAACTGGTGGGATAATATGGTGACAAACCAAAAGCATTGGACAAAATTAAATTTAGACGTAATGATGGCGCTAGATACACATTCATATCCCCCTCATGAGGGATTCATCCTCCACAAATACAAACTTCTGTGGCATCTGATAGTTGTTGAGATATTAGTCAGATATAAGTCTGGACCAAAATGGTGGACCAACAGATAGATGGGCAGACATTGCCATCCCTAGCCATCCATACGTCTAGAATGGCTGGAAATCAAATGTATATACTGTATCTGCATTAGGACCACAGACATTGAAAGATGCTGCAGATAAATGAGTTCCTGAGTCTTCAGCAGCGATAGAATATCTGTGTCATCTTATTGATGTTAAGCTGTTCTGTACCATTTTATTATTCTAGGTTTAATTCACCAACACTGGCTGCTGTCTGTGCTGATGGAAGGAACTTCACTCATTTCAAGTCATAAAATAAGATGCTGCCACACCATTGCACTGCAGACTACAAGGACCTAGAGGAAAGCATAGTTGTTCACCAAATGGCTGTGACATGATGTTGTTGATGTACTGTTGTCTTTTAGATAATTATTATCATGATTGATTTTGATTAAATTATTAATCTTTTAGGATATCTAAGAACTCATAGGATCACAAAATTGATTGGGTAAACTCAGAGAACCAGGTGGAGGTCCTTCAGATAATTGTTTTTTCTTCAAGATGGAGTCAAACACCAAATAATGTACCTCACTGCTCTAAGAATGTACAGTAATAAACCACCATTCAAAATGGGGTCATAAAGGCTGTGTGCAGGTGTCCCCACCAGTGATACTCAGGACAGACTATAGCCATGGATATTAATATGCTGATTATACAACAGAACAGGTATGTAACAAAACAACAGGTAATCAAAAGGAGATTTTAAATGATTATACAGTTTCTATACAGATTCAATTTGAGGTATGTTTCAAATCCTCAGCTCAATTGTAAGAATACAACCATTAGGACGACGATCGGTTTGTCTTACGCAGTAGTTGCTGTTTCTCAATGCTCTAGTTGCTAGGAAGCAGGATGTTGAGTGTCCAAAGGATATTAATAACTAATACTCTGTGCGACTGCTCCTCAGCGCTCACAAGACCCACACTCTGCCTGCTGGGCTGTGATCTTAGTGCTGGAGCAGAGATTAGTCTATTTCTCTGCTGACGTTTCTCACAATAGAAAATATATTTGAATTGAACAATGAGAGACAGACCACAGGTGCGGAAATCTATTAAAGGGTGTTGGCTACAGTATTATATTTATATATTATCTGTCTAAAATCACAAAAAGCTTACCTTGTCTGCAAGTTCCCAATAAATGTTTTTGTCCAGCTTTCCTTTTCTTCTAGATCTCCCAGTCTTTTAGCCAAACTGCTGCATGTTTCTTCAACTCTTCGCTTCTGTTACGGATAGAACCACTCTATCCTCCTGAAGCAGAAAGGTAAATGGCCACAGAGTACCATCATGTCTATGCCTCCAAGTTTTAACGCTTCTCTTTCTCCACTCAATGAGGAGAGCATTACAGTCACTCCCACTGTCAAGTCCTCCAAAGTAACTGCCCGACTGATATCCAGTTGATCAGAAACAGACAAGAAATTAGAAAATGACTTTAGTGGATCACTAAAGTCATAATTTTGTACCCCGAAATAGCACAACGACTTGATCACAGTCAAATTAAATGTCTGTAGAGCTCACATGGTCTGTAGGGTCCAATCCAATCAAAAAATCAATTCCTCACAGCTTATTTTAGATTGGTGGCCAGTCGAGAGTCTCACACTTTCTTGGTATATCTGCTATCTGATCTTGTTCTGCTGCAGATCCCACTCTGTATCCCACATCCAGTGAACTATTGCTCACTGCTCAGCTCTCGTCCTCCCCCTCCCTTTCACGGTGTCACTGTAGATACTTGGCATTTGGAGACTACATGCTCTTCCCCTACCAAGTGTTGCACCAGTGCTGGTCAGCAATGCTCAGAGTTGAAAGAACCAACTGGTTTATTCAGGACTGCTGCGTACTAGAGAGACCACCTGAACACATACGTTTGTTAAACTGATTTGTCCAGGTTTGATCATGTTAAATATTTCTTTTTCTGTGACAGTGTGGCTTCAGAGAAGGGTCAACACCATTTCTGTGTAGAGTAATATTTATTTGGACCACATTGGGTGTATTATTGGTCCAGACTTCTAATTAGGCTAACTACCATACTCTGTAAGGCTGTCTTTATTTTAACTGAAACCAAACATATCACAGAGTGGGTGGCGTGGTCTCCATTTTGACTCATTCAGAAAGGAAGGCACTTCCTGTTGAACGTCACTCATTTGTCTTATGTGTGTGTGTGTGCATGCCTGGTTGAAGGAGGAAATCAGTGAATAATTTGTGTGTCACAGGGCCAATAAGCAGTTGTTCCCTTGATTATGCCAGTGGCTGTAAGATTGTACTTAGACACAGCGGTGCTTTGAGTTAAAAGATAATGTCAGCGTGCTAACATGGTCACTATGACAATGCTAACATGCTGATGTTAAACTGGTATAATGTTTACCATGTTCACCTGACTGGATGTTAGCATGCTAACTGCTGTTTGCTACTAGCACAAAAATCAAAGCACAGCTGAGGCTAATGTCTTGGGAATTGGAATAGTTTTGCAGGTATTTGGTCAGAAATCAAAGTCTTAAAACTGAATTTTTGACTTAATGATTAAAAAAGCGAGGATCACCAAACTTATTAGGATACGTCATCTGGGAACCATGAAGGCTTGTACCAAATTTTGCGCCAGTCCATGGAATAGTTGTTGAAATACTAAAGTTTAAAAATCTAAAATGTCTACCTCATGGTGCGTTTGAAGAGTCAGAAGATCACGAAAGTCATTAGGATTCATTACAATGTCTGTGTTGTTGAGATATTTCAGTCTAGACCAAAGTGGTGGTCCAACCAAACAGATGGACATTGCCATGACTGTAAAAACAAAGTGTAAATAGTAGCGTGTGAGATGTTTAACTCTGGACCAAAGCACAGGACAGACACGCTTATGTGCAACCAAAATTAATTTCCAATCAGTGCTCTGTGTGCAGTGTGCAAGCTACAGTACAACCCGCCACCACACTGCTCTGCCGGGGGAACTCTTTTCCAACCCTAACCCTAACCCTAACACAATCAGTCGTTCCAGTACTGGCCTGACCCAGATTCACTAGAGGCCGTCAAAGAGCAGAGAACAAGGTGTGCGTGACACTGCGATACAACTGCCTCCAAGGAAGCTAAGCTATGGTAGTCTGAGTATCAGTTTTCTGATTATAATAGGAAAAATATTTGACCTTTGTGAGTGTTTGTGCTGTTGGATCTGTGTTCACTAAAGCAGTAAGACTATTGTATCTTCATATCTTCAGGAGCATCAGGAGCACGAGCGTACACATTTACTTACAACATGGGATAATGCATCTAAGATATGACACTGTTCATGACATAGTGTTTCTTTTTAAGGGCCATTTTTTCATAACAGGAGTAACTCAGGCTGTCCACACTATGTTACTGTAACTGTACTGTTATTACGATGTCAGGCCTTTAAATGGGTTATGGGTTCAGTTAGGAGATGGCAGACCAGATGGGGATGTGAAGTGTGCTATAGGGAGAGAGAGAGTCCAGAGCCCAGCTGATACCTCGCACCCATCAAGTTATTTAAAGGCTGCCTCAGTGCAGCAGGAGAAGGTGTGCCGGGCTCGACCACACTCAGGACAGGAGCTGCAGTGTTTTCAGATAATCAGTGCACACTCTCCTGATTGATTTTCTAGTGTTGTGTCATGTTGTGGTTATCCCTGTGTGTTACAGAAGACACCAGTCAGAGCACAGGATGTTTACTCAAAGCTCATGAGCGTAACTGGTTCTGGCAGGACACTCAGGATCAGGAGCATGGCAGGTACTCCAATTATACAACTGTGTAACCGTCTGTTTAGTTCAGTCTCACCAGCACTCCTGCTGTTCATGCTCACTTGCTGTGTGTTTCTGCACTTCCTGCTCATTGTTCTATTATCTATAGCTATATGCAGTATGTACGACGTGCACTGTAATTGCTGCTGGGAATATAAAATCAGTCACACAGTTAATTCACCCATTTATCTGCTGTTAACTCTTGTGCCTCCTCTTAAAACATACATTTGTAAAATCTTTGAGCTTATTTCACTGATTTTTTTTCTTTTCTTTTGGAGTGAACAGAGTTTATTTCAGCTGGAAAAAGTACACATTCTTGCACATTAGGGGCAGGTCAGGTGAGATGGTATCAGTCAACATTTTTCTAATTTCTGATGTGTTTTATAGTAAAGAAGTTTTACATTGACTCACTGCTAATTCAGAGAAAAAAAATGAAAATGTAATTTTACAAATCTGCCTATATGAATTGTTTTGTGTTAAAGTTATGGAGTTTCTTATTTAGTGTCCACATCTTCTTTACTGGTAGATGATACAGCAGAGAGCATAATAAGGAAATGAAAAGTACCATGAAGTCAGCTTTTTTTTTTCTAAAAAAACCAAAATACTGCATATTTAACCTCAAGCAACCAATTGCAGCTTTCTAACTTTAGAAAACAACATGCAGAACAACATGAGTAAGATGATCTGTGCCAAATGCAATGGGGGGAACATAACAAAATCAGAAACAGATTTTAAATTGACATCAGCCTGTCATATAACCTGATTAATGAGAGAAGACCCAGTTATTACTATGTTTGCCCCATTATTACCTGATTTCCCACAAATTACTATGTGTATGTTACTATGAATGATATGCGTATGTACCATGGTGAGAATGGAAAGCTTCTTATAGTACTTCAACAATAATATAGTGGGTGGGGCAAAGGTTAACGGTTTTACCCAAGTTATTACCCCCTTATTACCTTGTTATACAACGTAAGGTGCTACCACATTAGGTTGCATTGGCCCTGTGATTCAGGGTTTTTTCAGTTCTTCTTCAACTTGCAATATAAAAAAAAAAATCTTTCTGTCCATTGCAGGAATAAAGTTAAACCTCTAAAGAAATGGCTGCAGGCCTGTGAAACACAGCAGTAAAAACAAGGAAGCGAGAGAACAAACACGAACGCTAGAGATACTGTAGAGAGAGTTTCTGTTGGCAGCCAGCACTGATAAAAACAACCTGAGTGGGGGAAGAGAGGCGTTGTGCACCCACCCAACAGAAAGAAATGCTGCATATACACAAGATACAGGACTTTTTTTAGGGAGCTGTTCACTAACCTTCCTGCTCCAGTTAGGGAAAATATGCTCCGGACCAGCCTAATCAACATCCTGCCACATAATAATAAAGTGCTCTCACCTTGTGAAATAACACAAGGAGACCACGTTAGTCTCTCTTACTGTGAGGCTGCAGTAAACCTTTCTGTTTTTCTTCATGCACGTGGATAGTGAAGTTTGTTTTTCCACACTGAATGTAGAGCCATTTTTTGACCACATCCAACCAAACATGTTTGTTTCTGACACATTTTACTCACAGTACATACAAGAGTTTACTGTATTAAAGTGCTTCCCCAAATACCAATCAGCCTCCTCATCCTCCACGCCGACGTTGCTGTTGCCAAACTGACATCTGTGCCAAATTTATATTTAACCCAGGTGAACAATGTAGAATTTATCCATTGTCATGGAAACACTGACACATTTGAGTTTGACCAAACAAATTGCATGTAGGTCACACGCCTCTGGACCTGATTTTGTAACACTGTGATCCAAATCAAACTGGGTTACAAAAAAAAACCTGTCCATGCAGCTGTTTGCTGTTCACACAACACAAACACAGACCTGTGTCACATGTGAGAGTAAAAGTAAGCAGAGTTGTGGTGCTGTCAGTTGCAGTGTAAACACAACTGAAGTATATGATTGGGGTAGCAGGCTGTGCTCACTGATCTGAAGGCAGCCGCGGTGCTGGTTGCAGTAATTGATCTTTGCATGACTAAATGGGCCACTTATTTTTGCAGCCTGAGCAGGTGCACCTGTGTAATGGTGTTTCTACATCAGCCGCTGATCAGTCATGAGGGCCGGGAGCGTTTGTGGGGCAGCTCGATAAACCCTGCAGGTGCACACTCACACACACTTACACTCACACACATATGTGTACACTACTCTACAAACAAAGGAATGCAAAAACAAACTGAGACAAGTTTAAATATATATGAGAATCACTTTCTTTATTCTGTTTAAGATGTTATAATCAGAGTAAATGTCACATAGGTAAACTGTAGAGGAAATAATAAAAGAATATAAAATAACATATATATATATTATATAACATATAGTATGAGAATAAAGCAATGAGAGAGATATTTATTAACGTGTTTGTCGGGTTTTAGTTTGCTTCAGTTAAATTCAGTTAACCATGTGAGTTTATCCAGATAGATATCAATATTAAGAATACATAAAAAAATATGTTAAAACAGGAATTATCTTGTTGAATGGACAGAATAGATATAACACCAGGAACCCTAACTTTATCAAACATACAATTCATATCAGAAACTAAATTCTGAGCACAGCAACATACAGCAGACTGATACCAATAAGAAACAGAACAGAAATAACCTGACAGCCTGATAATATGGGATACTTGAAACTCTAATCATGCTCCAAAGTTTCTGCATGCAATCACCCTTCAGAAGTAGACTTCTTTATATTTATTTCTTTTCTAAATATACTTTTTGACTTTATTGACAGGACAGCTCAAGATAGACAGAAAAGGGGGAGAGAGAGGGGGGATATAAAGGGCCACAGGTCGGATTCAAGCCCATGGCCACTGCAGCAGCAGTACGTGGGCCACCTGCTCTACCAAGTGAGCTACCAGGATGCCCAATTCCCTGAGGTCAATGTGACCTCCTTAAAATACTAATTTAGTCTGAAAA